GTAATATGGATGTAGCTAAAACTCCAGGATATAACCAAGCCAGGAAGACCTGAGTCATGAGTGTTTCTGAGAACAATTACTTCCAAGTCAAGCACAATCTAATAGTTTATACTTAGTCAAACAAATGACTGCATTTCTCTGTCTGATATTTTGGCAGGACAGTAGAAAGTGAGTCATTGCTCAAAAAGCATGAAAGCTCCTAAAATTAGAAAAATATAATAAATTATATCTTAGTGTTATTAATACTTCTCCCTAACTGGTATAGGAAAATTAGTATTTCGTGGTGGCATGGTCATTTAGTAAATGCATAGGTGAGTGTGTCGGGACATAGGAAGGAAAATGATATTAAGAGCAAACAACAACAAAAATAATAACTTTTGTCACTTCACTTTTTAATATCTGTAAAGCCTGGAATGATGAAAATGTCCCAGGTCTGGATTTTCCCAAAGTGTGAAACACTTCACACCATGCTTGTCTTTATCTATGATAAAGACAATACATTTGACTCAGTGTGTTTCAGTGGGTATTTGGGGGGGGGTTCCAGGTTCTGTGATTTTAACTGAGGTTGGGTACTTGCTGAGGGAAGATTGAATAAGATGTCTTCCTTACTTTGATATTTGGTATTTACCCCTTAGGGGAAAAACCCATTCAACTGCCCCCCTTTCTCACCACCATAACTTTGGGTCGTGCTGGTGGTTTTCATTCTTGTTTTATTCAATAATTCACCCTTTTGGGAAGACTGTTCATAAAAATAAAAAAATTGAGTTAAAAGGTCAACTCAACCTACACATCTTATAAAACCAGTTCTTGCTCATACAATCTGGACAAGTAGTGCTCCTACTCTTAGAATTTAGGCTCATTGTATGCTCACACCAGGCTGTTTGGAGCTCAGAGTGCTGAGGCTGAAAGTACTTGGGTTCCTCCAATGGAGAAAAGTCAACCGACAAAACCAGATTCAAGGCCTATTTTTGAATGAAAAATAAAATACCACATCTGAAGCAACTAAAGGTTGCATTTTAAAATTGATCAATTCATTGATGATAAATATGTGTACATTTGAGTTTCCTGAGGGGGGTGTAGATTGGAGTCATAGTTTTTGAATTCTGTTTCCAGTACTTAGTGTAAGCTCTTGACCACTAGAAAACACCCCCCTGAAGAACCTGTGGGTACTATATCAGGATGGTTTGCCTCAGTGTTCTGAGGGCCATCCCCAGGCCTGCTCCTGGGAACTCAGCTGCCTCAGCAACTCCTGGCAACCTCAACAGAGAGAAGGGTGATATTTAAGATGATGAACTACTGGGATTGGGGCACACATTTATCAGAACAGACACTGGCTGTAAAACCAGCTTGGGCACCCTGTTGTCTGCCGGCTAATTTCAGTCCTTCCAGATCATCTCACTGCTCGGCAGTTCCTTGGCCTGACTTCATCTATGTGCATGCTTGCCAGGCCCCCTCCAGAACATGTCTGCTGCTGCTGCTTTAGTAGCCAGAACACGAGTTGTGGCGAGATGCCTGTCTAGGTGACATGATCTAAAAGGGCATCAAAGTCCTATAGTGTAAGCCAGTCACCACCAGACTTTGTTGTGAAATACTTCACACCATGCTTGTCCAAAGCCTTTTTTCTTTTTCTAGAGTTTGGTCAAGCTTGACTTATGTCAAGCCCAGGAAAAGTTTAAAAAATTAAGACTTTGATGTGATTTCCAAGTGGGGTTAACCGTGCAGTCATCGAGAGAGCTGGCTGAGGTGAAAGGGGAGATGGTTGTCTTTAAAGCTGACTGTATTTCCAGTTGAAAGTATAGCCCTCACAAGTTCACCCTTATAAATTCTCCACTTTCTTGGGAATATCAAACTACACACAACAATCTGTTGTTGTTAAGCACATGTGATTTTAAAATAATAACGTTTGTCCCTTCACGTTTTAATATCTGGAAAGCCTGGAATGATGAAAGTGTCCCAGGTCTGGATTTTCCCAAAGTGACTGGTCTTTTGGAATCCTTACTCTCACCACCAAAGCTCTGATATCAGCTCAAGCTGGTTGACTTGACTTTGTCTTCCCTGGGGATAAATTTGTTCCTAAAGTCTTCTCAGTCTCTTGCAAGTAGATTTATCCCCAACTGCCCGAGGAACTCTCTTTTCTCCCTTTCCTATGGTTACCGACCTGTTTGACTAAAGACCATCAACTCAGCTTCCGTTTTTAAAAAGGCAGTCAGTTCCAAACAACTCCAAGAACAATTGTTGTAGGTGACTCATCTGGATAGCAGAAACGTGCATCTCTGAGACCTCAGACTGTGCCCTCTGGGACTCAGAAGGGCTGAGGAGGGAAAACACACAGCCCTGTCAGTTGGGTGAGTACAGTTCTGGTAATCTGGGTGCTTGGGTTTGCGGTGCTGAAATCTCGCATTCACACAGTGAATATTATTCTTGGTTTCTGCTTTTGGGTTGATCCAAGTGGAAAAGCAGTGCCACAGGACTCAAGCAGTGCCACAGGACTCAAGTGGAGAGGATCATTGAAGGCAATGCTGCTCGAGCTTTGAATCATGAAATGAGCAGCGTGTGGGGTCACTCAGCTTCTGGGATAGACAAGCAGGCATGGGCTCCGAGGTTAGAGACGGCCAGGGTCAGTGTCCCAGTGGCTGCAGCATGAACTTGAGCCAACCACACATTTCTGACCTCACCTTCCCTGTGTAAGATGCTCCAGATTTCACATTTCCCGCTTGTGTCTGCTATTGACTCTGGACATCAGGCTTTGCAACTGAACTTAACCCTGATCTGTATGGTCAATGATAACCGTCTGAGTCTACTAGCACATTTACTAAAAATACTTTGAGTCACAATTTCTTGAAAATGAATTTTAGTGTTTTAGTTGCTTGTCATTGGAACAGAGAATTCTTTCCAGTTTAAGGAGAAGTTAGTTGGCCAAGGAAGAGCTGCCAATATTTTTTACTGTGCACAATTGCATTAGGGCAGGCAAGTACAGAAATCATGGGTTTTGTTTTGTTCTGGCTTGCCTTTCAGTATCTTAAATGACTTAATTACCTTACCCTGGGCTGTATAATTCTTTCCTCTCTGTGCTTTAACTTCCATATAGGAATTAAAAAAAAAAGTGCTAATTCCAAATACAGGAATAGTATGATAATTATTCTGTATGTTTTAATGAATTTCCTGAACGAAACTATGGAAGCCTAAATGTAAAGAAGCCAACAGGAATATTTTACAAATAGTTCTTTAAACTTCAACATTTTATAAAACAGACTAAATTAAATCCCAATAAGAGAGGTTAATCAATTTGTAAAAACCATACAGTGAGTGAGCTATGTATTCTTTATATACATATGTAAGTGTAATCCCCTTTGGAGACACAAAGATATTTAAGACACTTTAGGGAAATTTATAAAAGTAATAATTTGGAAGACTTGTATTCATCTAAGTATAAACTGTATATGGCACACATCAAAGTTGTATTGATTTAAGATTTTAAGAAAATACTTAGCTTTTCTAACTACAAAGATTCATTTAAAATTAAATTTAAAAAATAATGTATGGCTTATTTATTTATCTTTACATCAACGTAAATAGTGGCACGTTAAATGGAACATCATGTGTGGATTCAGACTTTACAAGCATACACACATGTGAACCTGTGCAGCTTATCCTACTGTCCTTTCCAGAATACTGTATTTTCAAAACCATATCAAAATTAAAAAGCTAATTTTAAATGGCTATTGTGGAGGCAACTTCATGGCAAGCTTATTTTTCACCTTTGTGACAGTATCACTGGCTCTATTTAGGGGACCCTTTCATTGACACCACCACAACAGCTTGATCTTTCAAGAATCAGGGAGAACTTTGCAACCTTTCCCCTTTATTCTCAAATGCAAGTGCATGAGCCAAAAAGCACACTTAGAGAAAGGCACAGTTTTGCAAATGGGAGGGCTGAGCCATACTGAAAGATGACCCAGATTTTCTTTCTTGATTAGAAGTCAGGAAAGCAGGAGAAGGAGAAGGCTGAGCAGGGAGCAGAAGGGAAAGAACAGCAGTTTTTCAGTTCCCAGGGGGAGCTACTGCATGCCTCCCAAAGAGGCATGCGTTTAAGATCAGACAAATCCACAATGCCAACATAAGCATAGAGTTTCCTTCCAAAGCGAAAGGTAAATGCCTTTAATGTCTTGGATTATTCATGAATTCCAGTGTATGTCCAGGAATGTCTTATGTGATTAGGGGAGCAGAGTTGAGGGAAGCAATAGGAAGGGTGCTAATGGTGCTTGATTTTGATTTTATTCCACACCACAATTCCTTTGTATTTATTGAGAACAAACTAAATGAATATAGGAAGAGGCAAGCAAAGTGTGGAATGTATTTTCAGGAATGATGAATGTGGAAGAAAAGGAAAACATTTGGTTTAGCAAAGATAACTGAAATGAATGAAAATTCCCAAATATCACTTCTGGAAGGAACAATTATCAAATAGACCTCAAAATAGACCAGTTGTAAAGAAAGCAGGAGCAAATGAAGCAGGCTAAGGTTTAGGCTCTGAATAGTGCCACAAATGAATTACTAATATGTCAGAAACTGAAAAAGAAAGTTATGTTCATTGATGACATAACATAATTTCATGAAGTGCACTTGAACTACTGATTAAAACGACTTTCTTTGACAGACTGCCCATTGACAACAAGAAATGAAAGTGTGTGTGTGTGTGTGTGTGTGTGTGCATGGCCATGTGTGATTACCCCTATCTTGCTGGTTACTCTCTCCCATTGAAGATTTTACATTCCATTATGTCAACACAGGATGAGACTCCTCAAGCCAAGAGCAGAACTTCAGTGCTCACGTTAAAAAGCTCCTTGTCACTCCTCCCATCAGATCCTGTCCCCTTCTCTCCATGCGCCTAGCACACTCCAGTGCAAACACACACACCACACACACACACACACACGCGCACACGCACAGGACTCCAGTGCAGCCTGCTTCCAGCAGGTCGATCAGCTGCCTCGCTTTACCTCTCGCCCACGGAGGATGCCGGCGGCTGCTGGCTCTGGGGCTGCCTTCAGTCTCCAGGGCTCTGCCCTTCGGGTTCAGCAGGCTGGGGCCCTCTGTGTTTTCAACAGGTACCATGGTCACGTAGAAGTTACAGCTGCTCCCTCGGCACCAGACCACCCAGTCTTTCCCCACTGACAGGAGCGGTCACTTTCCCCATGGTCGCATGCTAAAGAAGGTGGAGGAAAAAAAAAAAAAAAAAAAAAAACTTCGGGCAAAGCCAATGTGATTTGTGACCAACTTTGTTTCTATTTCCGAAGGCTTTGCCCTTTTCGGTGACACAGGCTGTTGCTATTCCAAGCAGCCTATCACAGGCAGTGGGAGGGCCCTGCCTCGGAGGATTGTTTTTGCCTTCAGATGCAGACTTGGAAGCAAGGGGTTAAAAGGCTTGGGAATCAGAGCTCGGACACCGTGTTTGGCCATGAGCTAGGGCAGCTCTGGTATTTCTGCACCTTTGAAAAGAAGCAGAGAAAAAGAAACAGACTGCAACGCACACACGGAGTGTGAAGACGCAGAATTCTCCAGATTGTATCAGTGAATCTTAGAGAGGAGAGCAATTGAAGTAAAGACTTGCCAGCAGGAAAAGTGTCTTAATTTTTCAGAAAGGTTGTTCGTGACACTAAGAGTCGTGACACTTACCAGCTTAAGCAAAGCATATAACATGCTTGTGGTTTCTACCTGATTATTTTCTTCAAACTCTTGGAATAATCCAAGGCCGGCAACCAACCATACACACGGGCATAGGTTCCTTGGAGTTCTTATATCTTAGGACTAGAGCACAGTGATCTGGGATGTACTCACAGTCATCAGTAAGACAACACACTGGTATCCATCATGTTGCAGCTGTCGAATTTGAGGGGGAAAGTATTTCCAATTTCGAAAGGGCAGACTGAGGGTGCACTCTGGGGATGGCAAGCACATCCTCTGAAGCAGTGTCAGGGCCTGAGGAGGATTCCTTTTTTGTGAATTTATTTATATAAAAGAGCTTAGTTGTGATTTTTTTTTAACCTTAAGTTACATACTTAGCATATCATGTTTAGCAGAATAACTTATGGAGAGAATTGAGATCATTTTAGAAAACCATTTGGAATAGAAAGTAAAATTTATGGAATACTTAGTGTGTGCCAAAATAATATGAAAGGCTTTCAACCAAATGATTCTTTTGAAAAACAGTGGTGAGGAGAGACCCCTGTTACAGACAAGGAAATGGAGCTGAGTAGCTGAGCGAAGTCTCACAGCTGGCCCGTGATGGAGCTGAGATGAGGCAGCTTAGTCCCATCAATCTACATGCTGGCTGCTCAGCATTGTCCTTCAACTGTCTTGGCTTCCTTCACTTTTGGCCATTGTTGACCTTAAGAAGATGCCATGAAATAGGGCTTCTCCTTCTGGCCATTCCTCTGGACGGAGAAGAGAGCTTGTGTTTGTCTAGACAGAAGCTGAATCACTCAGGACTCACTTTCAGCATTTTGGCTGGATTGTAACAAAACTCTAAATGAACTTGGCATTTGGCTATCTCCTTTGCTCATCGCTAGATCCTCCTATATGTTGTTTTTTTTTTTTTTTTTTTTTTGTCTTTCAGGGAAACTGCTAGCAAATGGAAATGAACCTGAGATAAGTCCACCAGTGTTTATTAAGCACCTGCTGTGGGTCTGCTGAATTTGCTGGAAAATGAAAGGTCTCCAGGCACAGTCCTGTCCCTTTCTGATGGAGGTGAGTAGTTCAGAATCCCACAGATCAGCTTGTCCTTATTGAAGATTGTGTCATGCCATGAGTCTTCAATTTGTTTCCAGACTGTGTTAGGATTGTAGGCGCCGTAATCTGTCTGCGAGACACACATGCCCCATCCGCTCTCCATATTCACTTTGCTTCTATCTTTTCTCTGCTCAGAGTTGATGACCTTAGCTGACGCTTGTTCTTGTCCTGGGTGAGTCGTGCAATTATTCTGTTTAGTGACCTGGTGCCCTGTGTCTCCTGTACTTCTTGGCACCATGGAAATGTTGGGGTTCTTGCGTAGCCTTTGACTAAAATGAAAACTAACAGAATTTCAGAGTTCTTTACTGTTCTCATTTTGGTTTCTAACTGAACTTCAGAGACACTCTTCAGGCCCCATACACTCAACAATCAAAAGGGCAGAACAAACAATACAAGTGGCTTCTGTGTCTCCTGTGCCACCCACCTGTGCCTCGCTCTGCTGTTGGTCTTACTTGGGTGGCTGGCTACCCCGTCTCTGTTCTGGGCTCACTGTACTCTCTTAACTCAGTGAAAAGGTTGCAGGAAGGGAGTGTGGGTAGAAATTCTTTTCACCCAGCTAGAAAGGGGTAGTTTCTCACCTAATGTCTTTAGGGACCATGTACTTCACACTAGTTTGCTTATGTGCAATGTATTTATTATAGTTACTACATGCATTGATTTGATTAAATCTGCATTTTCTGCCAGATGGAAACATCCAGGAGAGTGTGGATGACATTCCTTTGACTCATTATGATATTCCAAGTGACCTGCAGAGAAAAAACACTCAGTAACTATTCACTAGCTAAAAGGAAGGACTGAATGCTGTAATTCAACCAATTTTAGCATTCCCAGAACATAAACTGTACCCCCAGTTCCTAGTACAATGCCAGACATGCAGTGTACCCCTCAATAAATATTTGTTAAATTAAAAAATGCTCACAAAGGGGGTTCCTAGTGAGCTGAATACTTTTTAGACATCAAAATCCACTTAACAATTGCCTGTAACACTGTCCAACCTCTTTCCTTTCTGTTTCTCCACTATGGAGTTCGAGTCACTACCATTGTTAAAAGTTATTCTTCCATGCAGGGAATATATAATCAACAAACAGACATCACTCTCCACAACTCCAATCATTTTGCTCCCAAACATTTACACCCCCTGCTCCTAGGCAAGGTCAGCATATTAAAAAAGAGAGAATCATGGCTTAGAAATTGACCAGGTAGCTTACATAAGAGGGTGTGAAAGAGAAGCAACAACATCACATGAACATCTACTGTAGACCATGCTTATTTTCATGACAATTTTTCTTTTCTTTTTAAAAATATGTATAATTTATTTTGTCATCTTATTCTTTATCACTTTAATAGTTTGTCCAGGAAGTTTACTTTCACTTTCTAATTATTATTTTTTTGTTTGGTGTCATTTGGTTTATAACATTATTATATAGGTTCAGGTATATACCTCTATCTAACTATCTCTATATGTACACATCTCTCTATAGACACATCTATATATACTACTTATGTTCACCATGAAAGCAATTCTGGCATTTACAATTGAGCCCTTTAATCTGATTGCCCATCATTTCCCCCCTTCCCCTTATAGGTAGCTAATTATTTGATCTTGTAGACTAAAATTCCAATGACAAGTGTTCATAAACTTTACAACTTTGTAGAAATTAAAGCTGAAAAATGTATGAAACTTGTCCAATGTTTTTTTAAAAAAAATCCCTTTTCCAATGCTTTAGCATGAAAATTTTCAATTGAACCCTATTTACATCTATTGATTTATTTTAATTTGTATGCTCTTCACAGTAAGTTGGAATACTTCAGTATATGTATTGCTATGTAGAATTCAATAGTTAGGTAGCATTTTTACTTTGAGGCAAATTTTTCATTCAGTAAAGTGCAAAATCCTAGAGATTTTATGAATTCAGAAAAGTACATGCAGTTGTAAAGTCCAGACTTCTACTGAGTTACAAAACATGACTATCATCACAGAGGATTCCTTTCTCTCTTTTCTGAGTAGATTTCCACCTCAACTTCTAAAAGTAATACATCTTTTTTTTTTTTTTAAACATTGGGCTTCTTTTGCCTATTCTACCTCTACCTAATAATGGGATTATTTTATAGGACTTCTCCCACTAAACACAATAATTTTGAGACTTAGTGGTTTTGTGTGTAGATTACTTCATTCTATTTATTGCTGGGTGATTGTGTACCACAGTGTGTCCATTTTTTTTACTGATGGGTAAATGGGGCTGTTTCCAGTTTGGGTTGTTATAAAGAAAGTTGTCGTAAGCATTCTTGTACAAGTCTTTTCATGGAACATAGCATTTCAAAGCACAGCAGTCCAAGTCTGTTTGATTCCAAAATCCACATGCCTTTCACTACACCCCACTGCTTCTCTGTGGTGTAGCCTATTGCGATATGTTTACATGGACTGTACCTCCCGAGTATTTATACTACAGTGGTTCCTTATAATATAAACACAAATAGGGAAGTGTTATCACTAGACAAAAATATCCAGGTACAAATTCAGCTCTCTGCTAACCATATTCTAATAAAATTACTCATCCTGGTATGATTTCTTTGACGGGTATTTGGTATTTTAGCTGTTTATCTTATCTAAATAACACTTTTTTCTAAAATGTTTAATATAATTCTTTCTACAGTGTTACTAATCATAGCACAGATAAGTTTAGTCCTCAACTTACAAAAGAAATATGATTAAGTTCATTGCATGTTCTCTTGATATAAAATTGTAAAATCAATCATGAAAATGACAATTTAGTAATTCAAGAAAAAAATGGTGTTTCTATTGTTTGAAGTGGGAAAATCAGAGTGGAAAACTGCTTGCTGGTGACCACTACAGTAACTTCCTAAGATGTATGTGCATCTTTTTTGTAAAGATTTTATTTATTTATGCATACAAGAACTGGAGTACAGGCCAGAGGAGTGATAGGTGAAAAGACTTGCCAAAAACTGAGTGGGGAGCAGAACCAGCAGATAGACTGCAAGACACTGCTGAGGGAGCAGCAGGTGAGGCAGGAGAGGTCTGTTGTGCTATGTGGGCCACTTACCTGGCCAGGGGGTCGAACTCTTTCTGCAGTGGCTGTGGCTAGCTTTATAGTGCTGCCCTTTAACTCATTACTCTACCAGGGAGAGCCGTGTATATGCATCTTGAAGGGACTGGAGAAGAACATGGAAAGAATAAAAATAACTAACCTGTGGGGGTGGCAAGTCATGGTGTGACACCTGCATTTGAAGAGTTGTGAACTTGTACCTCAACAACATACACAACTCTGGACGCTTTTACCTCAAAAAAAGGTAAATAGGACCCTCTCTGGTGGCACAGCAGGTTAAAGCACAGCACTAAGAAGCTAAAGCCACTTCAGCAGAGTTCGATCCCCATTCCTG